AGCAAGACTAGGCCCTTTCTACTCTCGGGCTCACCATTTGATCTCCCTCTCTCACAAACACTCACACTCTGATGTTCTAAAGCCAAGGGGGCCCTAACCAGAGCTACCCAAATATTGGGGCCATGCTCTTGGACCTCCAAAGCTGTGAGCTAAATATACCTCTTCTCTTTACAAATTACTCAGTCACAGGTATTTTGTTGTAGTAATAATAACCTCCCTGCTAAAAAATGGACTAATATAGCGACAGTCCTGAGCAAACCAAGACCCACAATTTTACTCTAACAAGTAAAAGAAATTCTAATATTTTCTTGAAATCAGAAGCATAACCAAGATTAAGCCAAGCAATAACCGTTAACAATTGAGTGTAACGAGACCAGCCCTGTAATGCAGAGGGTTAGACCACTGTCTGCCACGCCAGCATCCCATATGGGCACCAGTTCATACCCTGGCTGCTCCTCTTCCAATCCAGCTCCCTGATAATGCATCTGGGAAAGCAGTATAGGATGATCCAGGCAGTATAGGATGACCAGGAAGAAACTCCTGGCTCCTGGCTTCAGATTGGCCCAGCTCTGGCTGTTGCAGCCATTTGTGGGAGTGAGCCAGCAGATAGAAGACCTTTCTCTCTGTCTCTCCCTCTCTCTGTAACTCTATCTCTCAAATAAATAAATAAATAAACAAACAAACAGAGGGAGAGAGAAGCTGGGCAGAAATATGAAGCAGCTGCAGGGGGTACATTTACATATTACTCAGTAAAGCTGTGCTATTCATTTTGATCAAATGCTATTTCTTCTAAATTAATTTTGCTCGTTTTTAATTCCAAGCAACTGATGTTAATATGGTGGGTTCATTGGCAGCACAAGAAAAATTTTTTAGTAAACAAGCTCTCTGGCTGCATTTAGATTAAAGTCAGATGTAAAAATTAAAGTATTCAATGAATGAAGGGCCAGACGACTTTGGTGTCTGAAGCTTTTTAACAAATTGCTGCTATTGGAACCCAAATTGCAAACAGGAAGATATTGAAGCATGTCAACAAAAGCAAGGGAGAAATTGAACAATGGAATATTGAGGCTCCTTAAACTTAGTTCTCCACCTGAGTTTATTTTCTCTGGATATTAGCTCACCTTACAAATGAACGGTTTTTGGACTGGAGATCCACAGAAGCATCAGTGGAAGTTTTTTTTTAAGATTTATTAATTTATTTGAAAAGCAGAGTTACAGAGAGGCAGAGGCAGAGAGAGAGAGAGAGAGAGAGAGAGAGATATCTTTCAAGTGTCTGGGTCATCTTCTACTGCTTTCCCAGGCCATAGCAGAGAACTGGATCGGAAGTGGAGCAGCAGGGTCTTGGACCGGTGCCCATATGGGATGCCAGCGCTCCAAGCCAGAGCGTTAACCTGCTGTGCCACAGCGCTGGCCCCTGACTCATTTACTTTTGGAATCTCTTTAGGCCCTTGCCCTTTTTTCTTTGGCAAAGTTTTACTCATCTTTCAATACCCAGCCCAAATGTCCCTGATGCTCACTCCTTTATTTCCCTTAGCAAAATATAAACGCCCAACATGAAGGTCACACAGTTTCCTTATTTGTTTATATCAGCATCTTCTACTAGACTGTTCCACCATCTAGAGGCAAGAGTTTTGCAGTTTTTTATTCCCAGTATCTAGCACTGTTTGCTGAACAATGAGTTTATCTTGTCTGAAATCCTTCTGCTTTCTGATCATAAGCTTCAATGAACTCCTTCTGTTTTCTTTTTCTTTCTGACTTCTGTCTCAAACTCCCACACCTAATTCCCAGCTCATGTCTTCTCATCCATTTCCTAACCTCCCCTTCCTCTTGCCTCTGTCCTAAGTCCAATTTTGTAGACACTGCTAGATTCTGTGTAACCTCGGGATGGCTTTGGCTTTTTGTTTTCTTGTAGGGAAGGCATGGTTTGCATTTCAAGACACAGAGTTGAATTGTAGAGGAGGGTGTGTTTTTACAATTCTTGTTGTAGTGGGGTCTCTTGTTGTAGTGCGCCCCAGCACTTAGAAAAGCACTGGGGTGGGACTTGGGTTTGTGGTTTTACTTAGTGCACCTCTAGGCAGAGTAAGGAGACTGGAAATGTACCCAGGCTGGAGAAACGTCCTCACATCTAGCTGCCTACCTGTGCCCTGCCCCCTTCTACCACACATGCCACGGAGGATTTTGTGAGAGGGAGCCCAGGGCATTGACCTAGATGGCTGCACACTGTTTGTGCTGTTGCCCTGGACACTGGGATGACAACTGAACCACTAGCCTGATGCAATCAGCTCACCTGCTGAGTAATGGGTTGGCTGAGAGCCTGCCTTCTCCTTCCTCCCCGGAGCCACAGGCAGTACTTCCTCCCTCTGGAGGTGAGCTGTGGTGCAGTCAGGGACACTGATCTGTGGTCAACAGGTCATTAGAAATGAGGAAAGCGTCGGTTCCCTTTGTCCTGAGACCAGAAAGTCTCCCCCACACAAAACACACACACACACACACACAACATAACGGGAGCAGGTAGGTGCTGTCTTCATGCTACAGAGATTGTGTAGGGACCACACTCTAGGAATGTGGACATTCCCAGGCTGGGGACACAGCTGTCAGGCATGGCCCTTTGTCACCCATTTCCCAGCACACCTACTCAGCATTTCTCCATCACTATTAGCTAGCACCAGAAAAGCTCCTGCCTTGTGGAGACAGGGAGCCTCTTTAGATTATGGCCTTCCTTTATGGGTTTTCCTTTTTTTTAAAAGATTTATTTTATTTATTTGAAAGACAGAGTTACAGAGAGAGGTAGAGACAGAGAGAGAGGTCTTCCATCTGCCAGTTCACTCCCCAGAAGGCTGCAACGACCGGAGCTGTGCTGATCCAAAGCCAGGAGCCAGGAGCTTCTTCTGGGTCTCCCACATGGGTGCAGGGGCCCAAGGACTTGGGCCATCTTCTACTGCTATCCCAGGCCATAGCAGAGAGCTGGATCGGAAGAGGAGCAGCCGGGACTTGAACCAGCCCCCTTATGGGATACCGACGCTTCAGGCCAGGGCTTTAACCCACTGTGCCCTCTAGGGGGTTTTTCTATCACGGTCAATAAAGGGTGCCCAGATCCTTACAGGCATTTTTTTTTTGCCCAAGTGGCAGGACAGTGAGGGCCAGGTGGTGGGGAAATGTGCAGTCTCTGGCTTTGTACCCCTTGTCACAGTCTCTGCTGGAGCTTGGAGGTGGGGTAGGAGGGCTGAGACCCAGGGAGCCTAGTGCTCCTGGGGAGCTCAGGGGTCCTGTCCCTCATTTGCAGGCCCCTGGGTGTGAGTGTGGCCAGATTTCCTGGACAAGTTTGCTTCAGTGCTTCTGCTAACAGAGGACAGAAAATGCACCCTGTGAGTCTGCAGCCTAAGAGGAGTTTTCCTTGGAAGGCTGATGTTTGCTTTTAAAGTTCTCTTCATGTTAACTTAAAGGAAAACTTTGAGGGAGTTTCCAATTTACAAAGAAATTGTAAGAACAGTGTGAAGAACTAAACCGCCCCAAACTCATCATTTAAAAGTTCACTCCCTACTTATTTGTAGCCTATGAGAACCCCACCTTGGTGAGAACAGTGGAGAAGGGCCTGGAACGGAAGGGCAGGGCCAGAGACTTTGGCTTTTCTCAGGTATGGCCTGATGTTTCCTACAGTGAGACTATGCATGCCGCGCTTCTGTCTCGCCAGCACACACAGCGGTAAAATCGATAATGCAGATATTTGGGAAAAGGTAAGCTGAGGGGCTGGCACTGTGGCGTAGTAGGTAAAGCCGCCGCCTGCAGTGCCAACATCCCATATGGCCGTTGGTTTGGGTCCTGGCTGCTCCACCTCCGATCCAGCTCTCTGCTATGGCCTGGGAAAGCATTAGAAGATGACCCAAGTCCTTGGGCCCCTGCTGGTTTCTGGAGGAAGCTCCTGGCTCCTGGCTTCTGATTGGTGCAGCTCGGGCCACTGTGGCCAATTGGTGAGTGAACCAGTGGATGGAAGACCTCTCTCTCTCTCGGCCTCTCTTTCTTTCTCTCTCTGTGTAACTGATTTTCAAATGAATAAATCTTTTTTTTTTTTTTAAAGAGCAGTCTTCAAAGAGTTCATAGAAATAAATATTAGGGAAAACCTATGTGTCAATTTTCAATAAAAAACCTTTTTTTGCACTAAAATAAACATTTTAATTCTATTTTCCATGAATGTTTTGAAGTACTCTCGTGCATGGTTTTACGTAGTGCCATATAGCTCTTGGTGAGAGCTCAGCCTTTGAAATATTTGGGTCACTGTTGCTTCTGTGGGCAGCTGCCCCTCAGGACAAGTGGACAGTGCTGCCTTTGTGTGCCAGCACATGGGGCATTTGCCCACTCCCCTCAGGGCAGTGTACAAAGTGGGCATCTACAGGCAGTGGGCTCCACACTCGGACAGTCTGAGTCCAGCCCCAATGGCTGGGTGACCTCAGGCAAGCTGCTTCGCAATCTGAGCCAATGTAAACCAGGAGGGTAGATGAAAGAACCGTCTCAGGGCCTTGTTTGTAGGATTACAAGGCACTTTTAGCACTGAGTGCATTGCCGGGCATATTTTAGCAATAGACGCCAGCTACGGCTGCATTTGTCCTAACACATAGGAGTCTGCCACACCCCAAATGGAGGGCCCAGGAAGAAAAGTGTGGGACCAGCCTGAGGGCTCAGGAAATCCCTGGCACACCCGTGGGTTCCTGCAGGTGCGTCTATCCCCAGCATACAGCCCTGGGTGCCTGCAGTGCCCGTGCGTCTCCCCAGTTTCAGGGACTTCGGTGGCTTTCTGTCCTGCGGCCCTCTGAGATTGGAGGAGCAGGAAACAGAGCCAGACATCCAGGCATGGCTTCTCCCCGCTCCCCACTTCCTTCCCTCATCTCCAGCTCTCGCCACATCCCGCGGAAGAACAAGCAGCAGATGGGGAATGAAACAGGAGCCGGCTGAGCGGTTTCGCAACAGCACCCAGCTCCCAGCGGCGCTGAAGCAGCCTTGCTGAACGCAAGGGCCCGGAGAGAGTGGAGATGACAAATATGGCTTTGGCTTTGTACTGGTTTATTTATGTGGTGGCAAGAGGGCAGAACCCCAAGGCTGAAAAGCCCCTCCACTCTCACTCCTCACCCCGGGGAGGTGGGAGGTTCTGCAGGCAGCAGGAGGAAAGCTCTGTGTCCCAGCCTCCCCGGCACTGGCCACTTGCTTCCTTAGGGCAGTGCCCCACGGGGACACGCTGGGTCTCCTGGGTTATTTGGGGCTGTGGGGACTGTGTGGGAGCCTGGGGAGCCTGCTTTCCTGGTGAGGTCATTGTTCTTGGAGTCATTACCTTGCTTTCCTTGGCCTGAGCCAACAGCAAGAATGCTTTGGAAGAGTGTTTGTTTGGGAAACAGTGACTCTCTGCCTAGTTACGTCCAAGCAGGCCAGCTTGCCGCCAGACCCCTGGCCTTTGGCAGGGCTTCAGTCCTGCAGGTACCAACCCTTGTCACCTGCCTCAGAAGCTGCCTAGGGGGATGGGCTGGGGCTGGAACAAGCAGCCAGGGCCTATGGTCTCCGGACCAGTGTGCTCTCTGTAGATTTCATCTGAGGGCTAATTTAGCTGGAAGGGAATGCGGGCAAGAGGCCAAGGGCAGCAGTTGGCAGCAAGCAGGCAACCCCTGGAGAAACAGAGTCGTTTGGATTCGGAGGGGTGGTCACTGCCCTGAACTTCTTGTGAGCTGTGGGTCACTGGCCTGCGCTGACCTGGCAGGACGTGTGGCCACGTCGGGCTGCAGGTACCGGTCCCAGGTGCCACACCTATGGGGGAGCAGGTAGCATGGGACTCAGCCAACCTGGAGCCCCCGCCTGCTGGTTGCTATAGGGGCTGGCCCTGAGATTCTGCAAACGATTCTATTTTCAGTCTGCCTGGCTCTACAGCCCTCACGCCTGTCTTGAGCTGCCTGAGTCACTTCTCCCCACGCCCAGCTCTGCCTCTTTCTGAATGGAGCGGATTATCATAACACCATATGTCAGAAGAGCAATTCACAATTTACAAGGCCCCTTTCTGCACCAGCTTGCTTCTGATCTTCCATTGGGACTGCGAGGTTGAGCGGACAGGTAATTTAATTCCTGTTTCACAGATGAGGGAAATTAGAGGTGAAAAGGAACTCAACCAGCTTGACCAGGGACACACACACACACACACACACACACACGGGGGCTCAGTGTTAGCAGCAGGTGTCTTGCCTTGGAGTGTGTGGCTTATCTGCCACACACACACACACACACACACACACACACACAGGGTGTCTGTGGTTACCAGGCTGCGGGGTGGGAGCCCCTGAGACCACCTTGGGCAGTGGAGGTGGGATGGGGGAGGCATTGTCTTGTTTCCTCACGGGGAACATTTGCATCTGGGGAGTACTGCACTTGGAAAGTAATCATTTGGGGCCAGCACCGTGGCACAGTAGGTTAATCCTCCACATGTGGCGCCGGCATCCCATATGGGCGCTGATTCTAGTCCTGGCTGCTCCTCTTCCGATCCAGCTCTCTGCTGTGGTCTGGGAAAGCAGGAGAAGATGGCCCAAGTCCTTGGGCCCCTGCACACACGTGGGAGACTGGGAAGAAGCTCCTAGCTCCTGGCTTTGGATCGGCGCAGCTCCGGCTGTTGCGGCCATTTGGGGAGTGAACCAATGGAAGGAAGACCTTTCTCTGTCTCTTCCTCTCACTATCTGTAACTCTACCTCTCAAATAAATAAATAAAATCTTAAAAAAAAAGAAAGTAGTCATTTAAAGTGCCAGTGGGGGATCAGTGGGGCTCCAATGAGTGCAGGAAGTAACCTGAAGTTACATCAGCCCACCTGGGCTCCCCACACTTCCTTCCCTCAGCATTTTGCCCACTTTGATGCAGTTTGTCCATGAACTCACAAGACAGACACATTCGAATATGTTGTCCCCAGCAACACAGTCTCAGTGCTCACAACAGACAGAGCGTGGGCAAGTGACCATTGTGGACATGTGCCGGCCTTGATGTTGGACGGGTCCCAGCTCCCACCCCTTCACCGTGCCAGACATTGGTCTGTGGGGAGGTCAGTGGCAGGCCCAGCGGACAGACTGGGTAACAGGGCCAGTGGGGTGCAGACGGTGCTTCAGGGAGCTCCTGGCATCATTAGCAGGTGGCGTGGAAGCCCCTTGCACATGTCCATACTGGTAAGGCTACGGCACACGCCAATTGCACGTTTGCACTATTTTTTATTATTGCACTACATTTGAAGGAAGACAGGACATTTTCACCTGCTGAGGAAACAGTCTCCAGGAGGTGCAACAATGTCTCGAGTTCTTGCAGCCAGAGTATTTCCGGTGCTCAGAAGTTCAGAGCATGAGGGCCCCAAATGGGAGGTCCCAGGCAGGATGCAGAAGGCAAGAGCCCTTAGTGGGCAGGGAGCATTATGAGGGTTTGGGCCTCACCAGAGGTCAAGGTGCAGGGCGTGAGGAACCCAGGGAAAGGACAGAGGTGTGTATGTGTGTGTATGTGTGTGTGTGTGTGTGATGACGGGGAAGATAGAGGGTGGGTGTGAGGGGACAACGGCATGGAGCACCTGAGGACAAATCTGTGCTCACCTATGATGTTGCTGTGACCAGACTACTCTGTGGATTGTTTTCTTTCTTGTCCTTTATCTGAATGCTGGCACCTGGAGAATATGGTCAGCCTTGGAGCATTAGCCACAGTGTTTGTGATTTTAAAAAAAAGCTGTGTCAGGGCAGGCGTTTGGCCTGACAGAATACTCGCATACCATGTCAGAGTGCCTGGATTCCAGTCCTGGCTCCACTTCCTGCTGGTGTGCGTCCTGGGAGGCAGCAGGCGAGGGCTCAGGTATTTGGGTCCCTGCACCCGTATAAGAGGCCCGGCTTCAGTTCTTGATTCCCGGCTTCAGCCTGGCTCAGCCTAGCTATTGCAGGCATTTGGGACATGCACCAGTGGATAGGAGTTCGCTATCTGGCTCTTAAATTAAAATTTAAAAATAAATAAATAAAAGCATCTTGTTCATCAGAGGCTACAGATGAGCTCCTGACTGCCCCCACTGCCCCGCCCTCCCCAGGCACTCAATTGCTCGGTAGAGTGTGATGTGAGCAGAAAGCTGACTGGGATGGCACGGGGCCTCTCCCTGAAGAACCTCCATGCTCAGGCAAAGAAGAAACTTCCCTGTGGATGGAGTCTGAAACATTGGCCAGCATTTGCAGGGAATTCCAGATTCCCCATCCCTTCTAGAAAAGCCCAGGCCCTTCTAGAAAAGCCCAGGCCCTTCTAGAAAAGCCCAGACCCCTCTCAGGCCAACAGTCAGAGCCCTGGCCACCTGCCTTGGGGTTAGAGGGATGGGTTTATGGCCACTGTGGTCAGAGGGGGCAGCCCAGGCCTCCAGGATCGCTTGGGTCCTGAGAAGTCCTAGGGGCGTGGCAGGGCCTCTACCTTGGAGGCGCTGCGAACCTCTCAGCATGACTCGTCCATGGCCCCGAGGAGACAGGCACGCGGCTGGCACAGGCTCAGCCACCCTGCCAAGGATGGTGCCGACATGCCAGGTGCTTCTGCCGCCATTTCCCAACCTCCCTGCTTCCTCCCAGCAAAGGGTAATAATAGGGGGTGCATGGCGTTCCAAGTCCCACGAGACCAAAAATAAATGTCCAGACATGTGGCCTGGGCTGCAGGAAGAGACTGTTCTTCCTGTGCTGACTTCTCCACAGCCCCCTAGGTGGAGGCTGACGTTGTGGGAAGAGATGAAAAACAAAATGCAAATTCCGGCCCTTCCGAGAGTCCTCTCTGCCTGCGTCTTTCCTTGCGTATCTCTCAGTCTCTGCCAATTCCAAGTCACAGCTGATGGGTCATGTGACTCCTTTTAAAACCGGGCTCTGGCTGGCGCTGCTCTTCCTGCCCACTGCCCATCTGCTGGGCTCCAAAGGCAACCCAAGTGTGGGGTGGGTGGGCTGGGGCACTTGCCAGGGAGAGCGCGCAAGTGAGAACTGAAATGTTTGACGGGCCCGGGTCCTAACAGGCAACGTCAGGTCCCTGAAGACCCTGGAGACCCTGCTGCTTCTGAAGACTGCACACTTGGCCGTTCCTGGATGGTTGTCAGCAGTGAGCACTGGCATGGCTGAAGTCAGGGGGGCGGTCTCCAAGGAGGCTGGACGGGAGCAGGCCCAGGGAAGAAAGCTTAGTCTTCTCTCTGGGGAGCTGTGACAGACCAGCAGGCTAGGGATGGCCACTGGGTCCCCTGGGGCTCAAGGCAGGCTTTTTGGGGGAAGAACTTGAGAGGTCAGCATCAGCAGGGAGGTGGGCAGGCCCCAGGGGACAGGTGGTCCAGCCCGGGCCCCACTGGAAGTGGCCCCAGTATGAACTGCTATGCAAGGCTTGTGATGTCAAAACCAGACATGGCCCCAGGATGGAAAGAACACACTGACTTCTTTCTAAACCTCCCTCTAATTTTTTTTTTTTTTGCTTTTGTTTTTAAGATTTATTTATTTGAGAGGCAGAGTTACAGACGGGGGGTGGGGGAGAGAAAGATCTTCCATCTGCTGGTTCACTCCCCAAATGGCTGCAACGGCGGGAGCTGGGCCAATCTGAAGCCAGGAGCCAGGAGCTTCTTTCAGGTCTCCAATGTGGGTGCAGGGGCCCAAGCACTTGAGCCATCTTCTGTTGCTTTCCTAGGCCATAGCAGAGAGCTGGGTCGGAAGAGGAGCAGCTGGGCCAGGAACCGGTGCCCATATGGGATGCTGGCACCACAGGTGGAGGTTTAGCCTACTATGCTACAGCACCGGCACTCCTCTACCCTGCCCCCCACCACCTCATATGAGGCCCGGATGCAGAAGTCTTTCTCTTAGTGAATGTGTCTTCTCTCTTTCAATGAGGAGGCCTCAGGCAGGCTCTTGCTGTGCTTTATTAACTTCACAAACAAAGCTCACATTATTTTTATTTCAATTGGCTAAATAAAATGTTCTATACAAGGCAAACACTTCACCACATGATATTTAAATGAAAAATAAAAAGTTTCATCCTACAGAAGTCTCCAGCTGCCACATATAAATAAAAGACATCAGTCATCAATTAAATAAGTTAAACGGCTGTAGGATATTCTGTTAGGTCCAGCACAGATCACCTGCTTGCTTCCTAACAGTGTTCTGGATCCCCACAGCTGAGGTCGTGGGACACTCCACTGGGACTCGCATCTCAATGGAAAAGCACTTGAGGCCCCTTCCCAGACCACGTGCCAAGATGAGGATTGGGTTCTCAGAGTCTAAAGCAACAGTGCAAGAGCATGACCAGCAAGGCGAAAGCCGAGAAGCCCAAGGCTCTTACCCACCCCATGCCTTCTTATAGTTCACATGCAGGCAGAGAACAGGGAAGGCAGCAAAAGCAAGGCTCGGATGGCCTCAGGGCAGCAAACGTAAATCACAATTGAATCTGAGACCTGGAAAATGGCCAAACTCTTCTTTGTGCCAAGACACAAAGACACAGTCTTAAGCCAGATTTTCACCATGGAATTTCTGATTGCATTAAGTAGGTCAGATGAATTTAAGTCTCTTAATTAGAAAACGGACCTTTTGGGGCAGAGTTTAGGCCACAGATGATACTTATATATAAGGCATATGTCATTAATCCCAATGCAGGCATCACCAATTGAGTGCTGCACTCCTCTATCTCAGATTCCATCTCCACACAGCACACCAAGTGCCCCTATTGTTCCACTAGGCTTAGCATTTGAGAAAATGAAAATAACTTCAGCCCTTCTCCATGTTCTGAAGTACTGTATGTGAAGGAAGAAATGTAAGACAGGCACTGAAGCCTGACTCCCGTAAGAGTAATCATTTCACCTGTTTCAAATAGGTGTCTACTAAATGGGAAAGGCCAGCTAACTCAGAGTTGTTAGAAATATTAGGATAATGTATGTAAAGTGCCCAGTATCATGCTTGGCATATAGTAAACATTTAATAAGCAATAGCTATAATTACCATTATCATAGTATCATCTTCAGGTTACTGTTGTTGACCATGGAATTGATAATGGCATGTCCATTGAAAGAAGGAAAGCATAGTAAGCTTATGTATTAGGTTGAACCTTATGAAATCAATAGCCGACAGTTTTTGACTTAGAAAAGTGGCATTTTTTTCTGATTTAACCTAATACATAATGATGTATTTCATTGAGATCACTTACTTGTTTTAACTTCATCAGATTCTTCCCCTCAAATGTTGCCCCCAGAGACATGTTCCCACCATTCAAAAACTTGCTCCAGTCAGTTGCTAGAGCAAGCAAAGCAGACAGTCTTCTAGAGGGAAGTTGAGGAGCTGGTACCTAGTTCTGCTACCCACTTTCTACCTAGCCATAGTGTCCAAAGGCCTTGATTTCCTCATCTGTATATTGGGGTTTTGTGAAGATAAGAAGAGATAATGGACAGGAAAACACTTTCAAATGCTAAAATCATTGTACCAAAGCAAGGTCTTATTAATTCCATTAGACTACGCCACTTCAGAAAACGTTAGCAGTCAACATTTGATTTTCAGTGTTTTTCTGTAGAAAAACTGCACATGAAAGAAGAGAGAATTCATGCAGCCATGCCAGATGGTGGTGGAAGCTGATCTTGACGTGGATCTTAGAACTAAGTACACATACGGTGCTTTGTCCTTCAAAATCGTACCTCGTCAACGTGAAGTAAATGCGATAATGAGAAATGCCTCAAATGTCCAGCTTGTAGGTTTACACCAGAAATCACACACTTCAGAACAACTCACCAGGAAGACAGAGGACTCACTTCCCCCTTCCCTAAAGGTCTCTAAAGTGGGTGGCGAAAGTTCAATTTGGGTATGGTTTTGTCTACAGATAGCATGTAACCCTCAGGTCCTCCCAGACGAATGGCTTCTGCAACTCTAAGGAGCAGTTTGATTTTGCCTCCCAGGGACGCGTCTTTCCAGTGCCCTCGGCCAGGGTGATGGGGCGGTGAGGGAGGAGGACGTATGTGGACCGGTTACCAGCAGAGGTGAGTGGGACCCTGTGCCATTCCTGGAGTGCTCTCCCTTTGGCCAGTGACCCTGGGTGACCTCGGCACACCCGGCGAGGGTCTCCTAATTTAGTCAGCCTCAAAGGCGCTGTTGGTGGCGCCCACATATTCAGACTTCTTCTTGTGCCGCGTCCACATTTTCCGGAGGATCCCGGGGACGCCACAGGAGGCGCTGCCTGTGAGCGGCAGGGAGGCTTCTGCTCCTTGGGGCAGAGTTGGGTACTCTTCCGCCATCTTCTTCAGGTGTCTAGATCTGTAGAAAAGCCAGGGGCAGCTGGGGAGCAAGTGGCCGGAGGGCCCTTTTCCTCCTCTTTTCCTCCAGCCTGCGTCTAGGCTTTGCCGGCTGCCGGCTGCAGGCTCACTGTTGGGACCCACCCAGCAACACCTTCCCCTGCAGGAGCCTCCCACGAGACAGGGAGGAGGTGGCCCTGGGCATGCTCATTCATGGGATCCCACGTTCTGCTCCTGCTCCCTCCTCTGCCTCTGGCCCCATCCCAAGTTCTACTTTCCCACCCCTCCCACTCGTGTTAAACAATATTGTTGCGAAGGGCAGGTGCCGCAAAGCATCAACCACCAAAGGAGCATGGGCACTGAGCCTGAATCTTGCTCTTTGCCTACTGTGTGACCTCGGGCCACAGTGACTTAACCCTCCCAGCCTCAGTTTTCCCGTGTGGAAAATGGGGATAGTTTCATCTAACTCATGGGGCTTTTGTGAGGAGGAAAATGAGATAATAGCATCCAGTGTGTTGCAGATCCTAAGAGTTCACCATCTCCCCATTTGCTGCTTTTAGATGGAAAAAAAAGGGGGGTACCCCTTTTCACTTTAGTGGCCAGGGTTCAGGAAGAAATTGCAAGGAGAATGGGCGTAAGAGAGGGCAGTCATTGGGAACACTCGCAATGTAGCTGTGTGTGCCTCTTTAAGGCGCAGTGAGGTGTGTGCCAGTTTACTTCAGCAGCCAGCGCTAGTGGCTGCCGCTGGGAGCCATGCATACTGGGGAGCAATACAAGCCTAGGGAACTTTATTTCTGCACTTTTCTCCAGTGCAGTCCCAGCACACTGAGTTATTTTGTAACTCTTTCCGGAGGACTGTGTCAGCTGGAAGTATCCCACACTGCCCAGTCTCTGCCCTGCCTCCCATAGCTTTCCCAGCATGCACTGCCCAGGCTGGTATTGGCTACGGGTTCACTGGGATTTGTTCCCGGCAGAACTCACGTTGAAATTTCATCCCCATTAGGAGATACGAGATGGGACCAGATGGGACCTTTAAGAAGTGATTAGGGCTCTGCCCTCATGAATGGATTGATTAATAGGCTAGTGGGCTAATGGGGTATCTTGAGATGGGGCTGGCATAAAAGCCACTTTGGTTAGGTCGTTGGCACAGCCCCATCTCTCGCCAGGTGAAGTCTGTACTACCTTAAGACTCTGCAGCAAGACAGCTGCAGGTCCTGGACCCTGGCCCAGAACCGTGAGCTACATAAACCTCTTTTCTTTATTACTTAACCAGTCTGTGGGATTGTGTTTTTAGCAACAGAAAATGGACTAAGATGATATTTTTATCCCTTGATCTTTCATATGTGCACTGAACACTTTCCCAAGTTCATGGCTTCCCAACTACTAGGTTCTAAGTTTCTAGGAAAACGTTAGCCACAATTTGTGCTGAGCTCTCCCCACATGGTCTCTTTCCATTTTCTCAATAACCCTTCAAGATGGGTACACCTGTCATTCTTGCTTACCTATTCCTTTTGAAGATTTATTTTATTTGAAAGAGTGACAGAGAAGAAGCCAGGAACTCCATCTGCATTTTCCACATGGGTGGCAGGGGCCCAAGTACTGGGGCCATCTTCTACTGCTTTCCCCAAGGCATTAGTAGGGAGCAGGAACAGAAGCAGAGCAACCAGAATTTGAACTTGTGCTCTGATAGGGGATGCCAGCATTGCAGGCGGTGGCTTAACCTGCTGTGCTACGTCACCAGCCCCCTTTTAAAGGCTGTGGAGGACTAGGTAATTTGCCTGGAGTTGGAGTTTGCAACAGTGCTAGACTTGAAAGCAGATGCTAGTCGAGAGCCCACACCTTCATCATCCCTTATAAACTGCCCGCAGCTTGGAGGATTGGAGGAGTGGTGACGGGGGCATGTGGAAGTCCACACTGAATTGAACTGAAGATCTTTGCTTAGTGCAACACCGACCACAGTGTGTGCGCGGGGTGTCGGGCCAAGCATTCGCTCCTGCCACCTTGGTGGCTGGTTCCAGATTGGTGTTAACAGGAACACTGGGGTTGTCAGCTGGAACTAAGACCTTTGCGTTCTATATACACCTGTGGGCAGGGACCCCTAAACTGACTCCTGAGGCATTTCTGACCCCGGAGTGCCCATGGGAGATCCTGAGAGTGGTGCACGACCACGCTCATCTCAGTAACCAAAGCCCTCCCGGTGACACTGCTCCAAGCCTACAGAGTGGCGTTAATGAAGTGGAAACCATGAAAAGCACTTTGGCTTAATCCTATGGAAGCTGCTGATGAGGCACAGTGCAGACCCAGGATTAGTGCCCTCATTAAAAGGTAATTTACAGCAGGCGCAGGTTTTGTTTTTAGCATCGTGAGAGTCTGAAACCAGGCCACCTGTTACTGCTGTGTGCAGGCCCCGGGCAGGGCAGGGGCACGTGGGGAGGTACAGTGCTTACCCTCTGGCTAGCGCAGCCCTGTTCTCCGAGCCTGCGGCTGCTGCCTCCGCCGCTGGCGCTGCAGAAGCTTTCACGGAGATCCGGGGCACCGGAGGAAGCTGCGGTGCAGAAGGGAAGGGACTGTGAGGTGGGACCCGCGTTCTCTCGGGTGCACTGGCTGGATCCCCGCTTCCACCTGGGCAGGAGACCCCACACTCTAGCAGGCAGCAGATGCCCCTGAGGCCTTGTGAGAACAGTGCTGCCCCCCCCCAAGTGCTTCTGCTTCAGACAAGGGCCTGAGAACCTGCATTGCTAGCCAGCTCCCAGAGGCTGCAGGAACCCCACGGGGGCCCCACTTGGAGAACCACTGACCTAGGGACACTTGGGAGAGGACAACTCAACCCGTGAGCCTCACCTCCATCCCTGGTATCCAGAGTCTTACTTCGTCAAGTAAGAGTTCAAGTCCAGGCCTGAACATTCTTGCTTTGCAGAGGCTGCCTAGACTTGGGGCGACGTTCAAGGGGCAGTCACCTCGGACCTTCAGCCAGGCCACTGCATTGCCCCATGCCCTCCTGGACTCTCAAACTCTGGGATTCCCCACTGCAGGGCTGTCTCTCACTCTTCAAGGATCCCCAACACTGATTCTCCATTCATCTATGCACCTTGACCTTCGGTTACCCTCCACATGCATCAAGTATTCCGTTTCCAGCAGGGTGGCCCTGCCTTCCCTAGTGCCTACGAACAACCCTGCTCCTTTGACTTCACTCTGGTGATGCTTCATCTTGCCTGCCCTTTGGCGCCACTTCCTCCAGGAAGCCTTCCCCAGAAGCTGCTGGCCTAGGCTGATGTTTCTCTATCCTCAGGTCTCCACAGCACTAGCATGTGTGTGACACGCTGAGACATCCCACCCACTCTGTGCTTCAATGGCTCTCTGTGTTGTGTTTACCCAGTTTCTTGGTCCCCAGAGAGCCTGCATGGTGAGCGGCAGAGGCTGGGACTTCACCCTTTGGTTAGCCCCCCCTTGGCACTCCCAGAGCATTGAAAATTAACTGCTGGACTCACCAGGGCAAAGTCCAGAATGTTCCTCCACCCCAAGCCCAGTGGAAGGCTTCAAGTCACCACATTCCTGCCATCGCTGGGAAATTCCAGGTCAAGGGCAGCATTACCCCCACCCCCTTCTCTCCTGAGCTGCCCAGAGGCTATGGGCAGAGTTACTGTGCCACCTGGTGGCCCCTCAGCACCTGAGCGAAGACAGGCGGGTGCTTCAAAAAGTTCGTGGAAAATAGAATGAAAAGGTTTTAAGTTTATTTTGGTGCAGGCATCTGTGAAGTTCCTGTACCTGAGGGGCCTTCAAAATGTTCATGGAAAATGCATTTTATGAATTTTATGCATGGGTTTCAAAATTTTTGCAACAAAACTAACTTAGCTTTTTCAATTCTCTTTCTTTGAAAGGCAGGGAGACAGGGAGGGAGAGGAAAGAGGGGATGGGGGTAGGAGAGAGAAGAGAGGGGAGAGGGGAGAGGGGAGAGGGAGGTCTCCCATCTGCTGATTCACTCCTCAGTTGTCCTTGACAGCTGTGGCTGGGCCAGGCCAAAGCAAGAAGGCCAAAACTCAGTCTGGGTCTCACACACGGGTGGCAGGGACCCGCTTACTCAAACCATCACCTGCTGCCTCCCAGGGTGCGCATTAGTAGGAAGCTGGAATGGAGGGAGCCAAGTCTCGAACCCAGGCACTCTGATATGGGATGTGGGTGTTAAACCACTGAGCCAAAGGCTCATGCGCAAACTTATTTTTTAATTCTATTTTCCACAAACTTTTAGAAGAGCCCTCCTACACCCAGCCCTGCTTAGCTGTGGAGGAATGGCTTTGTTCTGGACCGAATCTTGGCATCCCCCTCAAGTTCATACATAAAGCTCTGACTGCCACGACTCAAGTTCACACATAAAGCTCTGACTGCCACGATGATGGTACTGGGAGTGGGGTCTTTGAGAAGAAACTAGGTTTAGATGTGGTCATGGAGGTAGAGCCCCTATGATAGTGTTAGTGTCCTTAAAAATAAAGGAAGAGGGGGCCAGCGCAGTGGCATAGTAGGCTAAGTCTCCACCTACAGCACCCACAATCCCCTATGGGTGGTGGTTCGAGTCTTGCTTGCTCCACTTCCTATCCAGCTCTCTGCTTTGGCCTGGGAAAGCAGTGGAAGATGACCCAAGTCCTTGGACACCTGCACCCATGTGGGAGACCCGGAAGAAGCTCAGGACTTTTGCAGGTGCTGAATCTGCCGACACCCTGATCTTGGAGTTCCCAGCCTCCAGAAAGGGGAGAAAATGTTGTGTAAAGCACCCAGCTCCTCGTGTTGTGTTATAGTAGTCCGAGCTGCTGAAGGCATCCGTGCTTCGTGTTTTCACAGCCTTGAGAACTCTACATGTCTCTCCCCTCCTGCTGCACCTGGGAACGGGTCAGGCCCGTGCACCTGCAGGGCTTATGACAGAAACCAGTTCTTTCCCTTAATGGATGAAGGTCTTCAAAAAGGTGGTAGAAAATGCATATTATCTTTGCACTCCATTTTCCACCAACTTTTTGGAGTTCTCTCGTGTGAGATGCCCTTTTGCTTTCCCAAGTGCTGAATTTCTGCGAGGGAGGCGTGGCTGGTGGTGTGCCACGAGTGCACAAGGGAGGCTCTGTGGACGGCTTTCACAGCAAAGATGGCCAGGTAGGCTTTCCAAATAAGCCTCAGGCCAGGAGCAAAGGACACTTGGTTTCTCTTCACGACACAGCGGAAAGAGTGATGGGGAGAAGTTAAAAACAGATACAACAAACCAGGCTTACTTCACTTACCAAGGATTTTCCATATGCTCGATTCCCACACAGATGCGATGCCTTGGGCTCTGAAATCCCCACTGCAAAGTGGAACAGAGGAGGTATTACTCAGTGGTACTCCATGTTCTGCCTCCTCCCCACACCCCACCCCATTCTGCATCAATTATCAAGTTAGCTTGTCAATCACAGAAGAGAATTTAAAGGCCTTTGTCCCAAGCAGCAAAACCAGGCAGTAGGGTCAGGCCTGGGACAACCACTGATTGGAGTCACCCGCACCTTTGCCACTCTTCCTTGGGGACTGGAACTAAGGTCTAGATAAGATCAGTGTCAATGCAGGTTCATATGCAAACCTAACAAACAGTGGGTGACTATGATAATGGCTGTGCATGGGGGGGTGAAGGAGTATATTGGAAATCTCTATACTTTCGGGTCAACTTTGCTGTGAACCAAAACTGCTCTAAATAAATGAGGTCTATTAAAAACAACCCGCACATATGGGAGCATTTAGCACTGTGTCTGCATGCAGTAGGTGCTCAGAGAATATGCGCCCAGCTTCTCCTTTCTTCCTGAGGCCTCAGGTCGTAAGAGGTTAAAAAGGTTATCAGGAGTTAAGTCTTTACCTTTGAGATCAATTATTTCACACAGTGCTCCCTCTGTGAAACTCAAAGGGCCCACACTGTGGCACAGTGGGTTAAGCTGCCACCTGCGGCACTGGCATCCCATAGGAGTGCTGGGTCGAGTCCCGGCTGCTCCACTTCCACTCTGGATCCCTGCTAATGTGCCTGGGAAAGCAGTGGAAGATGGCCCAAGTATTTGGGCCTCTGCAATGGCGTGGGGTCTCAGAATAAGCTCCTGGCTCCTGGCTTTGGATTGGCCCAACTCCTGCCATTGTGGCCATTTAGAGAGTGAACCAGTGGATAGAAGATCTCTGTCTCTCCTTCTCTCTCTGTAACTCTACCTTTCAAATAAATAAATCTTTAAAATAAATATTTGTGGAAAAATTGAATCTGTACCAAACTTGTGTAGACCTACCCTGTCATTTTTCCCTAAACAATAGAAGTACAGAATAACAAATATTTACATAGTATTTACATTGGACTACGTATCATAAGTATCCTGGAGGTTTTTTTTTTAAAAAACAAAGATTATTTATTTGAAAGGCAAAGTTACAGAGAGAGAGAAAGAGAGAGAGAGAGAGACAGTGAGACAGAGAATCTTCCATCTGCTAGTTTATTCCCCAGATGGCTGCAATGGCCAGGGCTGGACCAGGCTGGACCACAGCATTGGCCCACTTTAAATATATGGGAGGAAGTGCTTAGGTTTTTTGCAAGCACTGTGCCAATTTCACAGAAGGGACTTGAGCATCTGCAGACTTTGGTGTCTGTAGAGGTCGTAGTCAACTTCCTAGGGTTCAGGGAAAGAAAGGAAAAATAGCAAGTCCTCAGATATCAGACACTGGCCCCACAACCCTTGGACACCTACAGCTTTCTGATAGGAGGATGGTAGACCAGATGCCCATGGTCGGTGCCTGGCTTTTCCTGTGGAGAGCACTTGGGTCTGGCTTTGACTCAGAAACACTCCCACCCACCCCCTCTGGAATCCATCAAATCGAGGGAGTTGAAGGAATTGAACCAATGCCCAGCTCAATCTCTTTTTTTAAAACCCGACTAGCACACCATGCATGTGACTGGGCAGACTCTCTCCATCTCATAACTTACTGCTCTCGTCTCTCAGAACAAAAGACTGACAGGCTACCAGGAAGGAAGAAAAAAGAAAAATAGCCCCTAAAACGAGAGCTGGGAAGACATGACTCTCTGGGGAAAGAAGCAGTAGCTAGGGAATCAGGAGACTTGGGAGTTAATCTTGGCTCTGAGGCCAGCAGGCAGTGCGACCTTGGCTAGGTCAAAACAGTCCCTATGATCTCAGTGTCCTCTTATGTAAATTGGCAGAGGGATGGCTGCGTAGATCAAATGTTCTCTACGTGCAGCGTACATCAGAATCACCTGCGGAGCTTGTTGAAAACACAGATCAATCAGTGCATCCTAATTCTGCAGTCTGAGCCAACAACATTTGCATTTCTAAATTTCCAGATTCTGCTGCTGCTCCTAGGACCCCACTTTGAGACACCACTGCATTAGATCATCTCTAAATTGCTGATTTGTAATCTGTTGTCCCTGGGGCAGCAGCATCTGGGAGCTGGTTGGAAATACAACATCTCAGGCCTGCCCAGTCCTACTGAGTTAGAATCTGCATAAAAACAAAGTGATTAGCCGGCGCCTCGGCTCACTAGGCTAATCCTCCGCCTAGCGGCGCCGGCACACCGGGTTCTAGTCCCGGTCGGGGCACCGGATTCTGTCCCGGTTGCCCCTCTTCCAGGCCAGCTCTCTGCTGTGGCCAGGGAGTGCAGTGGAGGATGGCCCAGGTGCTTGGGCCCTGCACCCCATGGGAGACCAGGAAAAGCACCTGGCTCCTGGCTCCTGCCATCGGATCAGCGCGGTGCGCCGGCCGCAGCGCGCCGGCCGCGGCGGCCAGTGGAGGGTGAACCAACGGCAAAGGAAGACCTTTCTCTCTGTCTCTCTCTCTCACTGTCCACTTTGCCTTCAAATAAAGAAATAAATAATAAATCTTTAAAAAAATAAATTCACTTTATGATTTTGCAAAGAGAAATAGTCTGTCTCGTTTTCCCTTTTCAACAGATGCCCACTCACCTATACATAGACACAGAGAAGATTCTATCACTTAATTTGCAAGGCAGATTGTGGTGTAGCTAGTGCTCTCACCCGACAGGCACAGGCTTCTATGTAACCACATAGCTGGAGAATATAGCTCAATGTATGCATTCTTATACATAGGACCAGAAGAACAGGACTAGGTTCTCAGTGATAAAAAAAAAAAAAAAAAAAAAAAAAAAAAAAAAAAAAAACTTAGGGGAAAAGATGAATGGAGGAAGTCTTTTTTGAGTTCTTGATATAAGCTAGTGCAAAACTGTTGATGTCTAAAGGCTTCGAGAGGGACACCCAGACTGAATCTTTTCAATTACAACATGAACACCTTTAGGTTGTGGGCAAAACAGAAATAACCTACACCACCATTAAAATGACAAAATAGCATCATGGACTTCAATGGACTAAGGCCAGGTTCCTGTTTAACTGCTTGGGGTGGAAACCACTCTTAAAAATAGCATCTAAGATAAGACAATAACATTACCAGTTTCAAAACAAATTTGCCCCTGAATTATTTTTATTGCTTGTTACATCATTCAAATTTAATATGATATTTTAAGATGCCAGTTCATGCATGAAGAACTTCCCTTGCTTCATGGGCAGTGGCTTACTGTCGCCCAGAGCATCACGTCTGAGGCCCATGATCCCGGTGGTCGTTGGAAACACGCAAAGCGGGACTCACATGCCGCTGCCGCCCTGTGGTGGGCAAGCAGCGGGTTCGAAGGGGTCACGGCGCCCAGGGACGTTGTGGGGAGCTGGGGCCGGGCTCACATACCTGGTCTGGAGGGGGTTTTGGCGGGATGGGCCCCGGGCGGCCGTGCATTCTGAAGGCGGCCGAACCTGCGTGCATCCCCTGCGTCCCGGCGGTCCCCGCGGTGGGGCAGCAGCTCCAGGGGCCGAGGCGCGTACAGGTCCGACTCGATCACCACCTGCGGGCAGAGGAAGGCCGGTCAGCTCATGCCTCTCTTCACGGCCCCCAGCACTGGAGCTTTGCAGGAGGGCCTTATGCTGACAAACGGACTTGGGGCATCTTCCCCGCTCCCGGGAATGCTAGGAGCTCCGCAAAAACGTGGGTAGAAAACTGGCCAGAAAGACAGAGCTGTTTTCTGTGTCGCCAGACTGCCAAGGAAGCCCTGGGGAATGACACCTTTGTTCCTGCAGAGGAGGGGCTTTTTGGATGCTCCGTGGAGGGAAGACCTAGGCAGAGGCCGCAGGCCCGCCCATCTGATTCTCGGGTTTTACAAGGAAGGAAGCTGCTGGCAAAATGGGGCGGGCCTGAGTCCTAAAGACCCCCATTTCCTCCCGGATGCAGAGTGCCTGTGTTGGGGTGAACTTCCAGCGCGTGGATTGCGCCAATGGAAATCCCAGGAAGCTGGAACAGGTGGTTAATGTCAAGATCACCTGCTGCAGTTATTTGGGGAAGTACAGCACAACCAAATGGGCCCCCAAAATTGTAATAAAAATAAAGGTGGTCTTCCACATTCTCAGATTCAACCAGCAGTGCCTTAAAAATATTCAAGGAAAAAAACAACTCCTGCATCTGCCCAGAACATGTGCAGCCTTTTTTTTTTCCTTGTCCTTCTCTAAACAATACAGATGAACAAGTATTTCCATACCATGAACATAGTTTTAGGTGCAATCTACAGAAGATTTAAAGTATACAGGAGGTTGTGTGTAGGTATATGCAAATTGTACTCCATTTTGTACTCTTTTGCATGGGTTTCAAAAATTTTGGCGTCAAAATGAATTTCTTTTAATTCCAAGTTTTCATGAACTTTTGAAGAATCCTCAAATAAGGGACTTGAACATCTGTGGATTTTGGTATCCAAGGGCGGGAGGGAGTCCTGGGTCCAAACCCCCGAGGGTACTGAGAGAGAACTGGTCTTAAACACATCACTGAAATAATTTCTGTCAGAAGCTTGGACAGATGAGAGCAGCCTGAAGGGAATCCTGGCAGTTTGGGCTCAGATCCTGGATATTTTATCCACTATGAGGACACTGGGTCCTTCTTTCTGAATGTCCTCAAACCCTGGAAATCACTAGAACCCCCAACATTACCTGACCGCCTCACAGAAGTTTGATCTGCCCATCTGCCTGCTTCGTGTTTCTGCAGCTGTCCGGCAGACCACGTTGCGTTCCCGACCCAGGGCTTCCTGTCTGTCGCCACGTAAGGCAGACACTGTCTCGGCCCTTGCAGCCTAGCCTTTGATGGACCCTGTTCAGTTGTCTACATGGCATTGCTTTTGGGGGATGCTGAAACAAAAATGGATGTTTTTAAAAAACAGCATGGGGCCCAGTGCTGTGGCATAGTAGGCTAAGCTTCCACCTGCGGTGCCTTATGGCTGCCAGTTCAAGTCCAGGCTGCTCTACTTCGATCCAGCTCTCTGCTATGGCCTGGGAAAACAGTGGAAGATGGCCCAAGTCTTTGGGTCCCTGCATCTGTATAGGAGACCTGGTAAAAGCTCCTGGCTTTGGATCGACCCATCTCTGGCCGTTGAGGCCATTTAGGGAGTGAACCAGTGGATGGAAGACCTCTCTCTCTTTTCCTCCCTCTCTCTGTCTGTAACTCTGCCTCTCAAATAAATAGCATTTTTTTTTAAAATGGTATTTCAACTCTGGAGAAAAATTGGATCTTTAATAAATATTGTTGAGATAAAAAATCAGGTCACTGGGGGAAATAGGTCCCTGTCCACATTCTCTGGAATGAGTACCAGACAGATCAAAGCTGCCTGTTAAACAACAACCAGGGAGTGGGTGTTTGGCTGAGCCGTTGAGATACCTGCGTCCCATATTGGACTGCCTGACTTTGGTTCCTGGCACCAGATCTGGTTCTAATTTGCTTTTTGTGTAGACTCTGGCAAGCAGTGGTGATGGCTCAAGTAATTGGGTTCCTGCCACCCATGTGGGAGACCTGGATTATGTTCCTGGCTCCTGGCCAGGCCAGTGTGGGCATTTGGGGAGTGAACTAGCAGATGGGAACTTGCTCCGGTTCTCAAAAGCAATAAATAAATAAAAATAACTGATAAACAGCGACCGCAGCAAACACTTGAATTGAATATAGCGCAATATAGTGTTTGTTACCTACAATAACTTTTACCCATCTGCACAAAATGCTAAACCCATAAAGCTGAAAAAAACTGGGGCCAGCACTGTGGCATGGCAGGTAAAGTGGCACTGGCATCCCATATGGGTGCTGGTTTGAGTCCTGGCTGCTCCACCTCCAATCCAGCTCTCTGCTATGGCCTGGGAAAGCAGTGGAAGATGGCCCAAGTGCTTGGGCCCCTCCATCCATGTGGGAGATGCAGAAGAACCTCCTGGCTTCTGGCTTTGGATCGGCCCAGCTCACATTATTGTGGCCATTTGGGGAGTGAACCAGCGTATAGAAAATTTCTCTCTTTTGTTTGCTCTCTCCCTTTGTCTCTGTAACTCTTTCTTTCAAATAGATAAATCTTTAAAAAAAAAAGCTGAAAAAATTAATAGAAAAATTGGGCAAAAAATCTGGCAATTGACAGTAGAAATATAAATGAAAAGATGCTGAATAATAGTAATTCATTAAATACAAATTAAAATAATGTTTCCCCCTCTCATCAGGTTGTCAGTGAGGAAGATACTCCATCTGGGGTCAGGCAAACCTAAGCTCTAGTCCCACTCGGGCACTTGGTGGTTATGTGGGAAGGGGCGTTTCTGCCTGCACTGGCTGGGTGCAGCACCGTGAATGGCAGTCACGAGTGGAGCTGTCTCCAGGCACCTTTCTCTCTTCATGCCGCATATTCCTCCACAGCAGCTGAGAGCAGTCAGAAGCCTTCTGAAGGCCAGATGTTTATGTCTCCCATAGAGGAAAATGAGAGAAGCTGTCACTCTTGGCTTCAGTTTAGTCCTTTGCTTAGACAATTAATATATCTCGGGGCCGGCGCTATGCCGCAGTGGGTTAACACCCTGGCCTGCAGTACCGTGCCGGCATCCCATATGGGCGCCGGTTCAAGACCCAGCTGCTCTACTTCTGATCCAGCTCTCTGCTGTGGCCTGGGAAAGCAGTAGAAGATGGCCCAAGTCCTTGGGTCCCTGCACCCGCATGGGAGACCTGGAGGAAGCTCCGGGATCCTGGCTTTGGATCGGCACAGCTCCAGCTGTTGCAGCCAACTTGGGAGTGAACCATCAGATCGAAGATCTCTCTCTCTCTCTCTCTCCCCCCCCTTTCCTCTCTCTGTGTAACTCTGACTTTAAAATAAATAAATAAATCTTTAAAAAAAAGAAAATTAATATATCTCAAATTTCATCTTAAATGGGTTAGGAAATCAACTCTCCCTAGACCTGTTTTTGGGACCCAGTCTCATTTATTCTATGCCTTTGAAAAAAGCTGATGACAGCAGAAGCATTTAGGATTCACTACGGGGACTGGGGAAAAAAATCCCTCTGGGCACTGCAAAAGGTGGCGATTTTGTGGGGTCTCCAGCAAGCCTTGGAGGCAGGCTGAGGGCAGCTTCCGGTGTGCAGCGGTGGGTGGTCTGTGCTTGTCCCCCACACAAGCTGTCCCCCTGCTCTCTGTCCTTTCTCAGCACTGTTCTCTGCCACGAGGTCGCCCAGGATACTGGACACATGTATTGTGTGCCAGCGGGGGCCCCAGGAATATGAATATGCAGGATTCAACAGGAGGGACCTGAGCCTCTTTTTTATATTTAATTAATTAATTAATATATTTGAAAGGCAAAGCTGCAGAGAGGCAGAGAGAGAGAGAGTGAGAGGGAGAGAGAGAGAGAGAGGAGGTCTTCAAGCTACTGGTTCACTCCCCAGATGGCTGCAACATCTGGAGCTGTGCTGATCTGAAGTCAGGAGCCAAGAGCCTCTTCCTGGGTCTCCCACATGGGTGCAGGGGTTCAAGGACTTGGGCCATCTTCCACTGCTTTCCCAGACTACAGCAGAGAGCTGGATCAGAAGTGGAGCAGCCAGGACTTGAACTGGCACCCATATAGATGCTGGCACTGCGGGTGGCCTTACCTGTTACGCCACAGCACTGGCCCCAGACCTGAGCCTCTTAATTAATGTCCACATGGCTCTGCGGGGGGGAACCTTTCCTCACAGCTATTCCACAGCTATTCTTGACTTTTTTATCTTTTTTCCCCATCAATCGTCTGAGAGGGAGGGCGAACCCTGGTGTGGTGTTTTCACACCCACTTTGCGGAAAGGGAAAAAGAAGGCAGGAAGTGAAAGCCTGGGAGGTAGACAACAGCACTATGGTTTGAATATCTGTATACAACCCGCCCCCACTGCCTCCTGAATTCAGAGGTTTGGGCCCCAAAAGTTTTGATTAATTGCACTAAAAGGGTGAAGATACAATTATTTTGTATTTGTGTTTGGGGGTAGGAGTCATTAGGGTAAAGTCCCCATGATTAAATCTTGGTGGCCTTAAAAGAGACCATAGACGTGGACAGACACACATGCATCCCGTCTTTCACCATGGGGTGCTCTGAGCCACCCTGGGACTCTGCCAGCAAGCACAAAGGCCAAGCAAACAGGGCTCCTGACCTTGGCCTGTGAACCTCCAGAACCGTAAGCAAAAACCAACTTTCCTTCATCCATTAGCCTGCTTCAGGTATTTCATTGTAATAATGAGAAGCTGACCTAATCACATAGGGAGACCCTGCCACCCTCCAGCACTTCCTCAGCAAGGCAGCTGCTCCCTTTCAGAAACCGGAAACACCACCTCCCCAACCCCTTCTTGGCAGCATGGGACAGGAGGCAGCAGAGAGGCACGGGCTGCTCAGCCAGCAGCCCATGGGTGGATGGAGGAGGTTTCCTGGGGGCGGAGGTGAGACGGGGTACTCTCCAGGTGGTGACTCAGAACTGAGCCCCTCAAAGGATGCCCACTGGCAGGGGAGGAAAGCGGGAAGAGATCTGGCTCAGAAAGCTCCTGTCTCGCAGCTGGGCCCGGTGCTGGGTTCTTGGTTCCCACCATAAGGAGAGCTTTGAGATGGCTCCAGGGCAGCGTGCTCAGCTTGCAGGGCACAGAGCTGAAAGGATGACCGTGACCCGAGGGGCTCCTGGCAGCCTGCCCTGCTGTCTGGTCTTTAGGACACTGCCTGGCCTAACAGCAGGCCCTTTAGCACTCTGAGTATAAGGCAACATTGGCGATCTGGAGTGGGGTAGGAGGTTGAGAGATGTTGGTGAGGAGGGGGAAAACAGAAGGGCTTTAATGCTGGAATTTTCCTTTCGCAACTGTCTGCTTGAAATAGGGGAAGGCACTGGAGCAGCAGCCTTTGGGACAATAAATCCTTGCTCCTCTGTTGGTATCAGAGAGGTCAGGGAGAGAATGAGAAGACCCGGCTCACACACAAGCCCCGGGGTTCATCGGCTGACATGCATGCTTGTTCGTTCGCCAGCTTAGAAGGCTGGTCGGGAGTTAGAAAGACAGCAAAGACCCACTTCATGGAGAATCATCATGGTTTAGGACTGAAGGGATCCACGGAAATGTTCTGGACCAACTCCCTAACTTTACACATAGGGAAACTGAAGCCGAGAAGGGCTGTGAGTTTAAGTCAAGCGCCAGGGCCAGAGCCAGGTTGGGAACCATTGCTTCCTGCCTCCTGAACCCTCTTTGTGGAACTCACAGGGATGCCTGTATTTCCATTAGAATGTTCAAGTGCGACTTCAAAAAACCAGGAGATCACCACACACATCCCTCCCCCACTAGGTTGAAATCTGGAGAGAGTGTGACATTGGCATTGTGATGTCTCCATCTTTCCTGCTGACAGCCATGCTAACTGCGTCAGCTGGAAGTGGCTCCGATCTGCTGAAAGGCTGAACTGACCTGCATCTTGGCATACGCTTATTCTGTTGAGCTACCCCTATGACGTCAGGATGATCACAGCAAACCTGCCTAAGAATCAGAAAGGAAACAGAAACTGGAGAGACTGTAGCAAGGGGACAGGATGTGGATGTGTCCTGGGTTCAGAAGAAAATGCAACTCCAGAGGGATCACGGAGGAAGTCAAACCCTGGCACTAACCACTGGAGAGGAGAGAGACTTGTGGCAGAAGGAATCTGACATCTGTCTACCAGGTAGCCCAAGGGGTGGAAAAGAAATTTATTTAAATAAGAGTTTGGAGCAGAGGAAAGTTGTAAATATTGATCCAGTTATAGAGAAGTACTGCCTAGGCATGATAACTGATCACAATCGCTTTCTGACCACCAATTTAGAGAAGACGTAAAGGAGCTCAAAAGGTTGGTTGAAGGGACGAGAGACCAGAGACAGCTCTTTCCTCTTTTTCTTCAACTGTAAGAGGGGCAGGTGGACTAAGAGCTCACCCATCTCTTCTAATGGGAAAGTGTCTGTGTGGCTGGGATGGACTTTACAAGCAGAATGATAAGGCCAACTATTAGGGGAGAGGGGGCCTGTACTTGTGGTGTAGTAGGCTAAGCCCCATACTGGGGCTGGTTCAAGTCCCAGCTGCTCCACTTCTGAGCCAGCTCCTGGCTAATGGCCTGGGAAAGCAGTGGAAGATGGCCCAAGTGCTTAGGCCCTTGCACCCACTTGGGAGACCTAGAAGAAGCTCCTGGTTTTGAATCAGTCTGACTGTGGCCATTTGGGGAGTGAACCAGAGGATGGAAGACCGACCTCTCTGTCTGTAACTGCCTCTCAAGTAAATAAATAAATCTTTAAAAACAACAACAAAAAAGATACTTTACAAAAAGAAATGCAGAGGTGACTTCAACAGGCTGGAAGCATCTGTGTTTCCATTCCAGCATCCTGCTAATGCACACACTGGGAGACAGCAGAGGATGACTCAAGTACTTGGGTCCCTGTCCCAGTGTGGGAGACTGGGAGAGTTCTTGGCTCTTGGCTTCAGCCTGGCCTGACTGGGGCTGTTGCAGGCATCTGGGGGATGAACAAGCTGATGGAAGGTCTCTCCCTTTCTCTCTCTTGCTCTGCCCTCCAAAACTCACCACTGAACTGTCCCACCTGAAGGAAGCTTCAGGATTTGAAGAACGGAGTCCAGCTTCTAGACTGGAAAGTTGGGAAGATGTACTCTGAATTACCTACAAACAGCTTCTTTGCCTTTTTTTTTTTTTGTCATGCAGAGTTAGACAGTGAGAGAGAGAGAGAGAGAGAAAGGTCTTCCTCCTTTGCGTTTCAATCTGACACCATCTCATCCACTGGGCCTTGAAAACTTGAAACATGTTGCTTCTAGACTTTGAGCTTAAGTTTTCAGGAACTAGAGCTAGATCAGAAGTTCTATCTTATGACCAGATTTTCCATCCATTAAAAGCCCTTCTCTTTGTTAATGTATAAAACGTTCTTAAAAGTGCTTATGAAAAAGCATATACGTGACAGAAAAATAAGCATGAATAAGTCGATGGTGGAAGGAAATGTCAAAATGATCCATAAATAATGAAAAGATGAAGAATCACATTAATAATTTGAGAAATGCAAATTAAAATAAGATATTTTCACCTCTCATATGGTCAGAGTAATAATACTGATGCCTTAAGGATAAGGTATCTTCAAAAAGTTCATAGAAATACATATTATGAAGAAATTATGGGTGGATTTCAAATCTTTTCCACCAAAATAAGCTGATCTCTTAGTTCCATTTTCCTATGAGCTTTTTGAAGTACCTTCACATAGTACTGTCTTAGCTATTCTGCACTTGATCTTAGCCATAAGGCTGAGAACTGATCATCTTAGCTGTTCTGGACAAGGTAGTTCAAAGTGTAGTTGCTGGGAACTTGGCAATGGCTATAAAATTGTTTCAAAGTTCATATCCTCTGACCCAGCATTTTCATTTCTATTAATTTATCCTCAAAGACATTTTGCATAAGAACATAAAATATGTTCAAGAATATTTCTTGTAGAATTGTTTTCATAGAAAATTGGGAAACTCCATTTATTGATAATTTGGTTAAATAATAAATCTAAACTACTTTGGTTTGGTTTTGGTTTGGCTAAAGGAACTCTAGTACATTCATGCAATGGCATACTATTCAGCCACTATAAAGAATGGAGTGGATTTATATGTATTAATTGGCATGAAAAGATGTTTGAGATCTACAGTTACATGAAAGGAGCAAATTTCAAGATAGTGTATCATCAGACAATAACACATAATATAGATTTGGACCTGGACATTTTTCACTTTGTTTAATGCTTATTGAACGTTCACTTTGCGTCAAATTCTGGAATCACAGATATTCTCTTTATTTAGAACAGGGTAGGAATGGAAATATTTGATGGATGAGTGGGTAAACTATTCTTATCTTTTTACCTGTTGATTCTGTTTTGAGACATAGACACCAAGAATCTAGTCCAAAGGAGAACAAATTAACTCATTGCTATGCTAATTAGCAATAGTGATAGAGTAATTGTGAAAGAATGGAGCATTCCAAATGCCAACGATAAAACACCTGGCTCAGGGAGGCTATATCACGTCATAGTCTGTTTAAACAGCAGCAACAAAAAGTCTATGTGAAAGGATGTTTATTGTCTCTGTCTGGGGAAAATGGCAGAACAGGAGGTTTTGATTCAGGGCTGTTTTGGTGCCTGGTTGACATTTGTCTATTATTTTGGTTAAGTGAAGGACACAGAAAACCCTTCCGGTCACTGAGAGCAGGGGAGAGAGAGTGAAGAAGCCAACGCTGATCTTTATGAAAGTCAATTAAATGGATCAAAACTAAAGTTTCCTTACATTCTTGGTCAAGAGGTGTTGAGAGCTTTTGACTCTTCTCCTGGCTGGACTGGACACTGCAAAGAGAGATAAAGAAATGTTTTTAGAGGATGTTCATGGGACCAACACAGCTGCAGTAATGACACTAAAGATTTGGATGGGGAGCAGACGGGGGTGGGGGGGATCGTAGAAGAGTGGGTGGGAAGAAGAGGCAGGGTTCCATAGCAATTTAAGAAGCTACTTGGTTTGAGTGCCCAACTTCATAACAGGATGATTCACAAAGTCTGAAAGTTGAAAACAACCAAAGGCCCATCAACAGGCTAATGGGTAAACACAGTGCAGTATGTCCACACAATGGAATATTACTCAGCCTTGACAAGGCATGAAGTTCTGATACATGCTACATGTGGATGACCCTTGAGATTGTGCTAAGTGAACTAAGTGACACAAAAGGATAAGTATTGTACGATTGCACTTAACATGGTACACCTAGTCAAATTTGTAAAGATAGAAACTAAAATGGTGGTTACCCAGGGGCTGGGAGCATGGGCGATTGAGGAATTACTGTTTAATGAGTATGGAGTTTCAGTTGAGCATAATGAAAGTGTTCTGGAATGGTGGCGATGGTTGTACAAACACTGAATGTACTCAATACCACTGAAGTGTACATTTAAAAATGGTTAAAGTGGCAAATTCCATGTTTCATGTATTTCACCACAAATTTAAAGAAATCAATTAGCCATAAAAAATATTATAGTACTTTGTTGGGAAAAGGTGTGGATTTTGTTGAAAAGGAGACCCTGGACATCTAGTTTCCACAATGCTGCTGGGATGATCTACCTGGAACTGAAATCCCAGCATGCCCCTGCCCTACTTAGAACAGAAATGACTTCTTATCACACAGTAGTGAAGTGACAGGAGAGGGTTGTCCTTGTAATTTTCCCACAGCTGTGGAGCCTGGAGTACAATGTGCTCGTTAATACCCAAGGCCTCAGTACCACCTTGACCACTGGGACTTGGGTAAATGACTCACCCCACTAAGCCTTACTTTCCTCATCTGCAAGACTGGGATCATAATAGCACCCGCCTCAGAAGGCTGTGTCTAGGATTAAATGAACTAATCTTTCTAAAACCCTTGGCTCAGCACCTGACAAAACAGTAAATTCCTGGGAATTAGTGGTGGTTTTGACGATGTCCCTCTTACTCTGTAAGATGAAGGCTGTTGGGGGCTGGCGCTGTGGCATAGTAGGTAAAACCACTGCCTGCTGGCATTCCATACGGGTGCTGGTTTGAGTTCTGGCTGCTTTATTTCCGATCTTGCTCTCTGCTCTCGCCTGGGAAAGCAGTAGAAGATGGCCCATGTCCTTGGGCCCCTGCACCCACGTAGGAGAACCAGAAGAAGCTCCTGGCTTTGGATCAGCCCAGCTCTGGCCATTGTGGCCATCTGGAGAATGAACCAGTGGATGGAAGACCTCTCTCTCTTTTCTCTCTCTCTCTGCCTCTCTGTAACTCTGCCTTTCAAATAATAATAAGTAAACCTTTTAAAAAAACCTTAAAAAATAAAAAATACAGGAAAGGATTGGAAAATGAGGGCAATTGGAAGGAATAGGTTATGATGTGCAGGGACTGGAGCTTTCCCTTAGGATTTCTCTTTCTGGAACTTTCCCACTTTTTCCTGCTGCTTTGTCTTTCCTTTCTTCCCCCCAACTGTTGCTTATTCTCAAAATAATTGTTTTAAATACTGTGGTACCATTCAGGAAGTAACTTCTCTTACTTCTTAGAAAAACCACAGCTTTTATTTTGTTTCTTTTACTGTGAATTGTGTGCATAAAATCTTTTTCTTAAAGGGCTCCCTTTATCTCTAGGAACTAACAATACACATATGTTAATCTGTTACAGACTTGCTCTATGTCCTATGCTTTTAACATACTTAAAAACACTGTAATATTTGTAAAATATTAAGATTTTTGTCAAATATTAAGATGACTCAGTTAAAAATATGCAGACACAAGGGGTCTTCAAAAAAATTCATAGAAAATGTGCATTATGAAAAATTGCAAGGATTTCAGAGTTTTTGCATAAAAATCAATATCCTTTAATTCCATTTTTCATGAACTTAAACATTTCTTTCTTTCTTTATTTTATCTGAAAGGCAGAGAGAAAGAGAATCTCCCATCCATAGGTTCTCTCTTCAAATGCTGGCAAAGGCCAGGACTTGGTCAGCTGAAGATAGAAACCAGGCACTCAGTCTGGGTCTCCCATATGGGTGGCAGGACCCAACTATTTGAGCCAGTAGCTGCTGCCTCCCAAAGTGTGCATTAGCAGGGAGCTGGAATCAGAAGCAGAGCCAGGACTTGAACCCAGGCACTCTGATATGGGATGAAGATATCTCAAATAGTACCTTACAAGTTATGCCAAACACCCATTCATTTCACAACCTCCTCCTCCTCTCCTTTTTTATATTTTTTTTTTTTGCAGAACCTGGGACATGTGTGTTGGGGAGAGGAATATCCTACAACAATAAATGTGATAGCAGCACAGGTAGAACCTTAATAAGTTTCGGCTTATCTTTATCTCTTTCATTTTTACAGCCACTCCGTGAGGTAGATGCTCTTCATTAACTCCACTGTAAGAGTCCAGGAGTCACTCAACTGATGATGGAACAAGGTCCACGCTCTTAACCACTGGGGACACACAGCCCAGGCTGCTGAGCTCATGCTCAGAAAGCTTCGGCCATCGCACGTTGGTAAACATGGCTAAATGTGGCCTTTGGGAGGGCTGCACCCCTTGTTGGACAGAGTCAAGCCAGTTACGCGTCTCCATTAAGGGGATGTGCAGATTCTCCCGCAAGCAGTGACTGGAGACCTGCTAGCACACAGAGAGCTGTCGGCTTGAAGGCTCTGGAGAAGGCTGGGACAAAGCAAGGCGTAGGCAGAGGCGGATTTCATCACTTCCTGGTCCAATGGAAGACCGCAGAAACTGGTTTTCTAGAGAACCCTCCTGAGCAGTGAGGTGACCGCTTGGTTTGATACCAGCAGGTGGCCGCGAATGAAAATGCCCAGAAGGGAACAAAGGATTAAATATTGATCTGGCACTGGACATAGTCATTGCTTATAATACAGAATAAAAATAGAAAACTTTCTAAATGAAGCCTTTAATTGTGCTTACTACCTATCAACTACTGTTCCAGATGTTTATATAGATTAGCTCATTTCTTTCCTATAATAATCCCAGGAGGTAAATTCTATTTTTCCTCTTTACAGAACAGGCAATTCAGGATCAGAGAGGTTAAGTAACTTGCCCAAGATTGCACAGTGTAGAAATAGCAGCAATCTCTTGGTCAGTTTGTTAAACAGAAAAAAGTATAGAAAATAGGCATGTTTAACATCTTCATCTTTGCTCCATTTTGCTTTCTTAGTGTGGAAAAGATATGCAAAACTAGAAGTAACAGTTAGGTGCCCCTTCTACCACCCCTAATTCTCCGTCCCTCCCTCCCCCAGGGCTCCTGAGATCACTACTTGTCCCCAGATACAGATGCAGAAAGCGCGGATGATAACGTTCCTCTGCATTTCTGAGTTTCCAGAAATGCTATCACACAGATAGGAGTCTTCAGCCTGGTTTTGTTCTCACTCAACATCACGCTTTCAGCCCTGTGTCCACACCCACACACGTCAGTCTAGCTCGCTCCTGCTGCCCGGGGTGGAGGACGCACATGGCATCAGCTCTGCCCCTGGGAGCAGCACCACGCTGAGTTCCCCCGGGCTACTGACTTCCAGAGTCTCCCGAGAGAATCCTGCACTTGGGGCAAGCTGCTGCCTTGTCCTCCTCCTCTCTCTCTCTGTCTGGCAGTAGATGTCTAAAGCTTGGTTTATGTTCTGCCGGCTGCTTCTTTGTGGCCAGGCTGTATCTCTTCCCCCACGCCCCCGCCCCGCCCCCTCCAAGCAGTGGCCCTGTCGGTGGCTGACACCAGAGGAAGAAAGGAATTGTTTGAATGTGGAGTCGCAACAGCAGCAAAAACATCCAGCCCACTTCATTCCGGTCTGACAATGAGAGCAGGGCCAAGCCGGAGTCACAGGCTGTCCGGGCGAGACAAGGGCTACAGGGCGAGAACAGAGGCAGCAGGAGAGAGGACCATGCTTTGAGGGGGGCAAGGGGACTGGCCAGGAGCGGGGACACTGGGAGGCGACTGAGCCTCCCACCCAGCCCTTCCCCAGGATCGAACCAGCTCACAAGAGCTCGTAAAGTTCCAGGTTAAGTTAGGCAGGGCAGCTCTGAGGTTGTGAGAAGTCAGCCGGAGCTCAGGGCGCCCCGCCTGCTCCACGGGACTTCAAGGCCACTCCTGGGAGGATGACTGCTCACATTTCACGGCTCAGTGGCAACTCAAGTGTCGGAGCCAGCAGGCCCGCACTTGCTCAGTGGAGAAAATGAACTCTGCCTGGCTGCCCCGGGTAGGCTGTTTTCCTCGGTCTCCCTAGTAATGGCTTCACTCTGCCTGCTGGGTACTGATGGAAGAGTGAGGCAGGGAGTGTTTAACTGCCCTCGCTTTCCCCTTGATGGATTCTCAATCCTTGTGCCTCCTTTCCAGAAAAAAACAACACATAATAAATGATCAACAGGAATGAAATCAAACTGGGATGCCAGAAACCCGAGGCTGGAGCGTAGGGAGTAAAGCAGCACGTGATTGATTCTCCAAGCCCTCCTGCGGGAGAGGCCACGCTGAGGGAAGCGGTCAAGGGCAACCGTACTCACCCTTGGAAGGGATCACGGTGGTGAACACTTCGATGTTCTCATCGCTGCAGCTGTAGATCTGATGCATCGTCGCAGCCTTTTCTCCCCGAAGTGCCTGGGTACGGACTCCGCTCTCCAGACCCCTAGTCTCGAGCGTCGCTAATCCAGTCTGGCTCGGGGATCATTGTGCAGGTCCACAAAAGACAGCCTGGTGCTGTGAGCTCATCTCATTCCACCGTCTTCACTGCAACATTTTCTAATCCCATCTGTCCTTTTTTTTTTTATGAATCCTATTATTGCAAACCTTCGATTGAGCGTGGAGGCTTCAGTCTCCTCCCAGGGAGGATGTATTTAACATTTTAATCTTGCGCTGTCTGCCGCAGTGAATTTGGAAGTCTTTTGTGAACGGACGGTGGAGTGAAATCGCCTACTACTCAGTCCGTGCCAGGCTTGGCTGGAGAATTTTACCAAACAGGAGAACAGGAGATGGGGATTTGGGTACCGACAATTCCTCTTCTCATTGCAGAAGCGAAGGGGCTTTTTTTTCCCCCCTGTCTAGGAGAACTGGATAATCAGTCATTTGTCATGTGTTAGCTTGGCTTCCTTTTAACTTTCTATTTTAAACAAAGGAACTCTTTCTTCAGAGTGTTTTTGCCTCATGCCAATGCATGACAAGGCTGACATTTCTAGAGTCGTGTGCTTAGCATCTCCTTGTACAACCCTTCAGGTACCTAGATAGGGTATGGGCAATGCCCCACACATTACAGGAAGGTCATATCTTTATTATCCTGTGTATCTGAGTATATCTCTCTTACATATTTATTATCTTATATAGCCTATTATGCCCTGCATATAGGTTATAGACAGTCCTATATATCCTCTGTATACCCTATATTTTATCTTATATATTCTGACTATACCTATCCTCTATCCTCATCATCTATCTGTCTCTCTATCAAGAGAATGACATACACAGGTACAATAGGGTTATGGTTGAAACATAAATGTATCTTGCCAAACCTATTGCCTTTAAAAATATTTATTCATTTGAAAGGCAGAGTTGCAGAGAGAGAGAGAGAGAGAGAAGGAGAGAGATCTCATCCACTGGTTCACTCCCCAAATGCCCACAACAGTCAAGGCTGGGTCAGGACGAAGCCAGGAGCCAGGAGCTCAATCTGCCTCCATGTGGGTGGTGGAGACGTTAATACTTGAGACATCATCTGCTGCCTCCCCAGGTGCATCCGCAGGGAGCTGGGTCAGAAGCAGAGGAGGAGGCAGGACTCTGATAGGTGATGCCAGCACCCCAAGCAGCGGATTTAGCTGCGGTGCCACAGTGCCTGCCCCCACTGCCTTTTATTACACCATGACAGCTGTAATTTTTCATAATACTTATGGTGATGGAATCACACTGATTAACTGCTTGCTGTGAGCGAGGTTGCCTGATACCTAATCTCAGTATCCACAACGACTCAATGAGACTAGGTATTATTTTGGCCATCTTTAGGAGACAAAACTGAGGCATGAAGAGATTGGGGAATATTTCTGATATTAAAGCAGGTAGTTTTGGGGCCAGTGCTGTGGTGTAGTGGGCTAGGCCTCTGCCTGAGGTGCTGGCATCCTGTGTGGGTGCCGGTTCGAGTCCCAGCTGCTCCACTTCTGATCCAGCTCTCTGTTAATGGCCTGGGAAAGCAGCAGAGGTCAGCCCAGGTGCTAGGACCTCTCATCCTGCATTGGAGACATGTTAGAACTTCTGTTTCCTGGCTTCAGATCAGCCCAACTCCAGCCACTGCAGCCATCTGGGGAGTGAACCAGCAGATAAGGACCCTCTTTCTCTTTGTTTCTCCCTCTTTCTCTCTGTAACTCTGCCTCTCAAGTAAATAAATAAATCTTAAAAAATAAAATAGCTAGTTGCGGCAGAATTAAGATTTAATTCCTATTAACTCCAAGGCTAATGTGCTTAACCACTACATTCTATTCTATTCTTTTTTTATTTTTTAAAAAGATCTATTTATTTAAAAGGTAAAGGTACAGACAGAGAGGGAAATAGAAACAGACTGAAATGTTGACTAAAACCTGTAAGAAAATTTAACAAATTAAACATAAACATATTTTACATTTAAAAATTGTTGATTAGGCACAAAATTAGGGTTGCTTGGTTTAGCACCAATTTACTAAAAAGGAATCTCGAGTTTTCTTTAATCATGTACTTAATAAAAGGCAATATTAAAGAACAGGGGCCAAGGTCCATCTGCAGGTACCATCATGGCGGATGGCCAGTCAGGTACACCCCTGGGCTCCAGTCTCACCACCCTGTCCCAGCTGCTCATGTATGTAAAGGTGCTCATCCAGGTTGGGTATGAGCCTCTTCCTCCAACAATATTTTTGGGCAGCAAGTATGTCAGCTTCCTTGTTTCTTTTGTTACGCTCAGCACATTGCCAGCATGGATGGGAAGCGTGGGTTGTTCACAGGCTTAACTCCAAGACTGTTTCAGGAGTCCTTGGAACTGTAGTCCATGGTGAAGTTTTACAGCATTGCCAGGAGCGTGACAAGGTTGAGGAGTTGGGACCTGGAAATGCACAGAAAGAAGTCCCGTCTTCCTTTGATCGGGTTATCAGAGACAGCGTGAGAGATGATTGCTCTATCAGCTGCTGCCCCCATCACACACCCCTTCCCCGTGGTCACACTGAGATCGATGGTGCAACTCATTGGCAGAGAATCCAAGTATTGCAGACTTTGTGACTCCATAGTAACCATCTATCGGGAAGAAGCCATCCTAGGATTTTCTGCGGGTCTTTATTCCTCACTTTCTGGGTGACATGATTTCCTTGTGGCTCTGAAACTCATTGGCCTACCTTGCCAACACTTGGCGCTGGACAGTGGGGTGTCCACCACAAATGAAATGAAGAGTTATTCCCAAGCTGTCACAGGATTTTTTGCCAGCGTGTTGACCTACCCCTTTGTGCTTACCTCTCATCTTATGGCTGTCACCAACTGTGGGCTTGCTGGGGGATGCCCTCCTTTCTCCCCAGTGTATAGATCTTGGATAGACTGCTGGTGCATGCTACAAAATGAGGGAAGCATGATTCAAGGAAATAGTTTGTTTTTCCAGAAGGTCCCCATTGGGAAGACTTGTTGTGATGTGAGAATGTTCATGTGAAGACATGGGGCAGGGACAGTGACATTTCTATAATCCCAGATGCATGGAATTATAGGAGCAAATGTTTATTTCTATAGAGCATGGCATACTTTTTAAATCTTGGGAACACACACACACACACAGGGGCCAAAAGACAAAAATGAAGTATTCAGTGGGTGGAAGATTTCTCTGTGTCTCTGTCTGTCTCTCCCGTCTCTCTCTCTGTTGCTATGCCTTTCAAATAAATAATAAAATTTGGAGAGATTTTTTTTCCAAATTGCCTCCCAAAAGTTGTACATCAGTTGATAATTTCAAAAATAGGATATGAGGGCTTTATTCTCTATACCCTAGGGAATACTTGATGTTATCAATCTTTCAAAAAATTTTTTTTTTGCCAAAATGATCCTATTTAGTTTTAGTGCTCTGAGCCTAATGCTTGATAGTATTAGACATTCAAGATCCTTCTAGCCCAGGTTTGTTTTTTTTTTTTTTTTGAAAAGCAGAATTATAGACAGAAATTGAGAGAGAGAGAGAGAGAGAGAGATCTTCCATCTGCTGGTTTACTCCCAATGGCAACAATGTCAGGAGCTGGGCCAGCCAGAAGCCAGGAGGCAGGAACTTCTTCCAGGTCTCCTGCATGGGTGTAGGGGCCCAAGCACTTGGGCCATCCTCTGTTGCTTTTCCAGGTACATTAGCAGGGAGCTGGATTGGAAGTGGAGCAGCTGGGACTCGAACAAGCACCCATATGGGATTCCAGGGCTGCAGGTGACAGCTTTACCTGCTCCACCACATGTCAGCCTCTAGCCCATGTAGTTTACAATCTGCAGAGGGCCAAATGGCTGAGTCCTCATTTTGGAACATAAACTGTATCATCCGCATGCATCAGTACACACTGGTGATGTTATGGAAATATGTATTTCAGTTTTTATTCAAAGTTCTTGTTCCCTCAGAGATAAGAAGTCAAAGCAGAGACAGTAAATACAGTGTACAAGTGAAAGGATTTACTTGAAGTGAGAGAGTGAACATGCATTCCCATATGCGCATAGGCAAGGCTACAGGGAGGGATACCCTCCCCTCGTAAGTGGGCCAGAGAATTGCCTAATAGGAAAGTGCATGGGAGGAGGCCGGAGAAGGATCAACAGCATGGGCAAGAGGCCAAATGGACAAAAAGGCCACTTCCATGTGTAACAATCCCTTTTATTGGCAGGGGTGTTACCTTAATTGAATATATAAATGGGGTGGAGTTTGGGCAGAGTCTAGCGTGTGTGAGGCTTCCTGAGAATTTCATGGTGCCTCCACCTGCCTTTTAACTTCCACATGGCCTTAATACTGTTTCCTCCTTCCTGGTCCCTGATAAGACATAGGTGCATCATGGGAAGATGGGTGCATTGGACTGACATGTAGTGGGGTGGAGTTACGTTGCAGGGTTGCTTTGTGCAGAAATCGTGAGAGACTTACTCAGTTCACTTACTCCTCCTAATCTCCTGCCTGCTTCCCCTGTACCAGTGGCAATCCCTGTCCAGGACAAGGGGATTCTGTTCTGGTTTAGGATCCTCTTCTCTCAGATTCTGGGAATTCACTGCTGAGGGTCCCTTGCTCATCACACATGGGTGCCCACAGACAGTTAGTTGATCTTAGTTCCTACACTTACTTTTTTTTTTTTTTTAAGATCTATTTATTTGTTTGAAAGGCAAAGTTACAGAGAGGCGGAGGCGCAGAGAGAGAGAGAGAGAGAGATCTTCCATCTGTTGGTTCACTCCCTAAATAGCTGCAACGACCAGGGCAGGGCAGATCCGAAGTCGGGAGCCAGGAGCTTCTTCTGGGTCTCCCACGTGCATGCAGGGGGTCAGGTCCAAGGGCTTGGACCATCTTCCACTGCTTTCTCAGGTACATTAGCAGAGCACTGGATTGGAGGTGGAGCAGCTAGGACTCGAACTGGCGCCTATATGGGATGCTGGCACTACAGGCAGCAGCTTTACTCGCTATGCCACAGCCCTGGCCCCTACACTCACCTAAAGGGCAGTCAAGTGATATCGGTGGACACCTTCTGTCTGCCCTGCACGCTCAGCGAAATGTTGCTGCCCGTCTGGTGAATGGGAAGCACTGAGTGATGCTGTGGCTGTGTTTGTCCAACCAGTGCGCTCTGGAGGCCTGCCCCACGGGAGGTACATTTACACTGAAACCTGAGCAGTGTTCCAGGCTCTCCATGAACAGGAGTCTCCAGAGGAGCTTGTCCAAATGCAGATTCAGGATCCTAAGCTCTGGTGGGAGGATGTTGCTGCCCTAGGACGCACTTTGGAGTTAGAGCAGAGTTCACTTTAAGGAGACCAGAAATTTCTCACCCTAGTGCATTCTAATTATGAGGAGTGCAGGTCTTTATTTAAAAACAATTATCTAGCACCCAGGCGTAGGTATTTAA